CCCCAAAACCCCAAAACCCCTGGATTCTAAATTTGAGGATTAGTCAGCAATTATGAAATAAAGATTATATCAAATATCAGCTCTGTATTGGTATCTTTGACATTTATTGGCATTGGGAAGTTGCTGCATAAGTTTAATCACATTCACATCTGCAAGTCCAAATCTCTCAGGTCCACTCACTGTTACAGTGCTTCTCTTGTTTCCTTGAAGTTCATTTATCTTTTTGCAGATGTCAATCTAAAAAATTTCAATATATTACTATCTTACCCAGCAACCAGTCGAGGAATCTCTAGTGATAGAATTTTCAGGATCATCCTAAGGTGTCACTCTGTATTATGGTTTAGAGCCCCCATCCAAGATCTCACATATATACTGGCACCTTTCACCAAGTCTAGTTTGACTATTATGCTCTCTTAAACTCTTAAAGCCGATTGGGAACAAATTCTTTTCAGTGTGGTATTAGCTTCTCTCGTACTCGATTATGCCTAAGTCTAATACTTGTAAGGAGCTATTTATCACTATTGGATAGATAATACTTCCTATAAGAAATTAATTACTTTGCGATCAAGTTTTTTATTCTTACCATCATCATTTCTCTGCACCTAGACTTTAGCTATTTTTCTCTTTGGCTCACTAAAGCTTTGCTATTGTTATAATTGTCCTTCGGTGTTTTAGTTCTGGGGTAGTATTTCTTTCTTTGGCTTCTTAACTACTCTAGATTGCTGTTGATAATCTTTGTAGAATTCACAAATTTCCTCTATTCTTTTAAAAGCTAAATCATAAGAGATCTCAATGTCTTCAAAACCATATTCTCTATTGCCGCTTAGATTCTTTAGGAACTCAAATCCGTTATAATTGAGAGCGATTAAGAGATTTTTATCATGCTTCTCACAAATCCAATTATCTGGTAAAAGTTGAGAGGACTTTAAATCTTGCATGGAGAAATCTTCTTCCATGTTTTCTAGCTGTAGTCTCTCCTTTTAAAATTATTCCTACAGTGCTTCAAGTCCAACTTCAAATTACTTGCAGTTATTAGGCAGTAGAGTTTTCCTTATGAATTGTAAAATGTTCATATTCTTATGCAAAATGCAAGCTTTTTCGTAGCCGAAATTATAGCCATCTTCATCAGGGTCAAAGATAACATTCTTGTTCTTAGTAGTGGGAATTTCTTCGCCTTTAGATTCTTCTCTCATTAGTTGATCTTGATTGACATCAGAATCAACATCTACTATTGCATTTTTAGCCTATATAATCTTTTGAGATTCCATTCTTAGTCTCTAAATAAATCTTTCCAAGTTTTAAGCTGTGTTTCTCTCGGCATCCTTATTCTAGTCATCATTGTTGCCTAGATTCATGTTTTAATTGGTATTCACCACTCCTGAATCAGTTTATATTTTCATTAGTTAGCTTCTAAGGAAACCATAGTCATTTTTGCCATCTGAATTTACAGGCACTCCGAAATTAATGAGAGTTTCATATATCATGTTTTTATCTTCTAGGGTGAAGCCCGTGGGTTCTAGAGCGTTAAGTGGCTTTTCAAAGCATAAATTTGATTGGTACTCACTTTTCCCAATAATCTGCACTAGCTTTTTTAGTCTTCTTGTGATGTTGTCAGCATTAGGAAATTCTTGATACTGGCTTTCAACCTATTCACTCTTGTGGAAACTAAGGCTAGTATCAGATCTCATGCTTTGGTACATAGCGTAACCATACTTGTAAGTACCAAACAGCAAATCAATATCATGTCTCAGTGTCCACCAAACTGAAGGTCTCTAACCATAGAATACCTAAGCAGGCAGAAAATTTAGTAAGTTGTTCCAAGTTTCATACTCCTTCTTTATAAATGGATCTTACTCAATCTCTGGCTTTGTAAAGTACTTCTTTCTCTCTCCTTTATATGTTTGCACTAGTCCTTTTACTCTGTAAAGCAGTTATATTCTTTTAGCCCAAGGAGCAGCTCTTTGACTAATTTGCTCGCCCCATTCTTTAGGCTGACTCTAGACAAATGGATCCTCTGGTTTTTCATCTATGAGATTGATTAGAAAAGTCTTCAATTCATTTTTCTCGTTTTAAAGGTATTCGAAAAGTGTTCGAATGAAATCATTAGCGAATGCTTTCATCTCGACATCAGATTTGTCTTTCAGTATCTTGTCATGACACTTGCTGTACTTTCTGATCTTTCTCCATCTTCCATAACCAAAAAGCAGAAGATGCTTCTTTAAGGTTTCTTTTTCCATGCTTCCCCATTTTTACTGAAGGATTTTATCTGGAGTCTTCTTCATCATTTGACTAAGCTTTTCATCTACATTTGTTGTCTAGTTGTTAGTGGCTGATGTTTTTTACTGATTCATTGCTCCATCCTTGAATTACTATGAGATGTTTTCTCTGATTGGTAAGATAAAGTAATACAGATGTGGCATGTAGCACTTGTTGCAGGGAATATATACTTTGTCCATTGAATTGACCTGAATAAACCCATCTAGCATTGAGATCTCCTTGTCATTTATTTGCATCATCTTTAGCGCCATAATTTCATAGAATTCTTTGTCAATGTTATATCTTAGTATCAGATGATTTCTCGAACTAAATACGCTTAGTATAATATAATTGAATACACAGATGAGCAGGAGGTGAGGAGCAGCTTTTACTTGATTTCATTTTTCTGAATGATTTCAACCAGGACTGAGTCACTTTATATATCCTTGTCTTCCATATTTATTGTGAAATTTTGACTCTGGGGATTGACTCCATTGGACTGTTGTAATCTTGCCTTCAAAACTGATTCACTTCCTATCAAGCAAGGCATCTATAGATATTAAAGATATAAACTTGGGCTAATGACTTTTATACTTACATATCTCACAAAGACTGAGGCCTCTCCAACCGATTGGAACTTAGCGTAAAAGGTGTCCATGATACTCATTTATGTTTATCTTAAAATTAATAATTTATTAATATTATCAGCACTTATTTTACATGCTTTACATTTGATCGACGGGGTTTTGGGGTTTTGGGGTTTTGGGG